ATTTTAATAATCGAAATTCGCAAATGGCTTTTGATTCACACGAGGGTTCTTCTTTGCGAAGGATCTTTTTTTCTTTTAAGAAAAAAAAAAGCTTGGTTGATTTTTTTATGGAATAACAACCATTTCATTGGATTAAATTTATTCCATGATTTTTATTTGTGTAATCTAAAAAAAAAAATAAAATTAAACAGAAAAAGTAAACTGTTAAATACAAGTCGTATGACGACATACGAAACTTCCAAAGCAAGTTTGTAAAATATATTGATGGACGTTTATCAATTATTGAATAGCTTGTATCGAAATAAGTGTTAAAAGTCAAGATCTATGAATGAATCTGTTTGTAAAATGTATTTAATGAGCGCTTTATCAATTATTCAAATGATTATATAGGCGGGATTGGTAGAAGTGAGTGTTAAAGTCAAGATCTATTTGCAAATCAAGTTTCCAAAATGAACGTTTGTTATTATAGGCGGGTTTGATCAAAGTAAGTCTTAAAGTCGAGATCTACGAAGCTGTTTGTAAAATATGTTTAATTAACGTTTTATTTATTATTATCGATTATTCAATAACCATATAGGCGGGTTTGATCGGTCAAGATCTATATAATTAGATTGTTAATAGTTAATAATGGAATTTTATTACATGCAAAAAAAAATTTTTGGGGTTGTAAATTTTGTTTTATTAAATAAATTCGTTTGATTTTTCATACATCGTTCATGTTTTCTCTCGCGTTTACGATCATTTTGACATTCGTTATGTTAAGGTTATTTTGATTATATCGTGAGATATGATCAAGAGAAGAGTTAGGAAGAGAGTTATTCTTCAACCAAGTCGAAAACCACCCCTTTAAATACATTTTCGAGTAGTACAATTTAATTTATTAGACTATTTCAAACGGTTGCTTCCAACTTCTTAAATTCGAACCATTTGTTAACGGAACAACTGTTTGATTTTTTCATACATCGTTCATGTTTTCTCTTGATCGTGTATCTTAAATTGGTCGCGTTTACGATCATTTTGACATTCGTTATGTTAAGGTTATTTTGATTATATCGAGAGATATGGTCAAGAGAAGAGTTGGGAAGAGAGTTATTCTTCAATCAAGTCGAAAACCAACCCTTTAAATACATTTTCGAGTAGTACGGTTTAATTTATTAGACTATTTCAAATGGTTGCTTCCAACTTCTTAAATTCGATCCATTTGTTAACGAAACAACTGTTGGTGAAGTGATTGTTGACAAAATGGATCAATGTTTTATGTTAACGTTTATTTTTACGTTATCAAATTCACGATTTTGATTGGTCGATCAACAATTGCGTGGTTTAAATTGAATCAATTGAATCGTGTATTTTTGTTATTGTGATGCTATGAAACACTTGGCGAAGTGGTATTTTTATTTTTCGACCATCTTGTATAACGTTGTGTGATGTTAAATGATTTTGTGGTTTGAATGTGCTCATCGTCTGTAAACTTGATTGCTTGAAGATGGACAGGGACGTCGTAGAAAGTTGAGTTCCGTGCGCTGAAATGGCCTGAGAGGAATTTTTCTACAAGAACGAAAAAAAAATGTGGGGACGGCCATCCTATTTGTATTTTTTGAATTGATAAAATAGACTATTATTGTCTTGACCCTGAGTGATGTCGCTGTGCGAGTAAAAAACACGAAGCTCGCTGTCACGTTTTCGTTTAAAAGCTTGTTAAAGAGTTATAACCATTCAAATTTTGTGTTTTTACTATATATTGGGACAATGATGATCTGTCATACTGTGTAATATGATGTAGGATACCCCAATGTTGTGGTGTATGTGATTTCATCAAAATTTAATTACCTGACAGTTAATTAATCGGTTTATAAATGCTCCATAGCAGATATCCTTTGATGATGATTTTCAGAATAGTGATGAAATTTTTATAGTACCAATCTTATGCAGAGTGAGTAATAAGGCAAGTATTAACGAAGGAGCATTTTTCTCAACTTAAAATGACAGATAGATCAAATAAAAAACTTCATGTAGAAAATAATAACGTTAATAATGATAATGACATTAATATAGTAATAATAAGGTTAGTAAACTCTGCCAACAAAATTAATGTTACTGTTAATAATAATAACAAAAAGCAAGAATAATAAAAACTTTAATTACTATAAACCAAGGAAGAATAATAATTGTGAATGGCATTCACGGAAAAACAAACATTTCCCAAAAGAAAAGGTATAATAATAATAAATTATATGTTGTTGGGATGGATAAATCAAGCAATTCAAGAAGATTTAATGATTATATGTTAGTGAAACTGTAAAAATCTCGCAGTAATGCTTGATGGTATGTAAAATAATTTTGTTTCGACAATCAGTTAATTAAGCAAATTTTTATTATGATAATAATAATAATAATGAGTATTAGTAGTATGCTTGGAGTTCTTACTTCCCGATTGCTGGATTATTTATTTCCAGAAAACGTCCATACCATACAGAAGCAATTATCAATCGCCTTTCACGATCAGATTATCAGATATTTTGTCTACAAGAAGCTTTGCTACAAAAAAGATTTCTATAATCGAGATTTTATTCAAGGTAAATAAATATTAATCAATTTACTATTTCTTCTGGCTTTGGATGCGGAATTTTAGTTCTTTTTTATAATAAAAGAAAATACCAACCGCAGCAAGAATTAGCCCAAGTCGAAGAATTAAAACTTTGTTTAGCCAGCGGAGAGAGAATATGGACGAAAACTAGTTTTAGATAAGATAAAAGAATTAATTGCGGCAAGGCACAAATCTTCCCAAGTCGAAAATGGATCAAAAAAAGAAATTATGATTGAAAAACAAGAACAAAAAACTTTATTACTCAGAGTGTGTACAAGAGAAAAGACAGAAGATATTAGAAAAGGAGAAAAGAATATCTTTTATTTGAATGTTTGTTGGTTTTCACTGACTGATTTTAAGTTGGTTAAAACATAAGAGAAGTTAGTTTACCCAAAAACAAAGCAAGGCAAAAGAAAAAAGAAAAGAAAAAATTCTTTTTCTATTTTAACAAGATTCTGCAGAAAAATTATCAACATTATTAGACTTTGTAGAATATCCGAAAAAAAATTTTATTTGATTATTACGTAAACACACGTTCATTAAATATTGTTGTAGAACAACCAAAAGTGTGTTTGTGTGAAAAAATATATTGGATCAAGTTAAATGTTTTCACGTACGTGAGAGTTAGTGAGAGATAAATATTGCGAGCTGGTAATAATCATCCATCCTTTGATCAATTTATAAAATCTTTTTTACTTCTTGCATAATAACTTTAGAAAGCAAAGGAGGCACCGCATTTCCAACTAAAAAAACATATTGATTAATTGATTATATGATAAATAATGATAATTTTTCAAATTTTTGTTAATAATAATAATAACCTTGTCTATATTGAGAACGCAATGTTCCGTAGAAAATAAAATCATCGGGAAATGTTTGCAATCTTGCTTGTTCTCGTACACTGATGTATCGATATTCGGTTGGATGAATGTTATTCCATCCTGATCCAATTGAACACAACACTGTATTAGAAACACGGTCGTTTCTCAATCTTTTAAGATGTCCCGGATTTGAACGATGATAATTCATGTTTGGGATCGTTGCGGTTAAGCCTTAATTAGAAAAGTTTCATTTATTTATTTATTCATTCAATTTTATTTTCACACACGCACGCACATATATTTATACCTCTGAATGCCTCGTCAACAGTTGGTGTTGGTATTATGCCGCCTAGTGTGTATAAATCACGATATTCAATTGGTGTTTCCTCCACAATAAAATGTGTCTCTTTAGGCCACTGAGGTAATTGTTTGTCATCAGGTACTGCATACAAAATAAATCGTTCCCGTTTCTGGGGAACACCATAAGTTGCTGACATTAATATTCTTGAATCATATTTATATCTGGAGGAAAAAAAAAACGAGAAATTTAGAAAATAGAAAATTCTTTTGTGGCACCCAAAAAAAAAAATATTTCAATTGTTTTACCCAACGTCTCTTAAACTATTTAAAAATAATTTAAGCATCGTATCACTTTCTCCTCCTCGATAATAAAAACCCTTAACATTCTCAAATACCAAAACTTTTGGACGTAATTTCACAATTGCTTCAGGCACGTTCAATGTTAATATATTCAATTCGCCCATGTCAATTGAATTACCTCTGGTGTTTGCAAAGGAAAATCCTTGGCATGGTGGTGCAGCAAGTAATACGTCAACACTATGTCTTGGAAGTTCCATATTGTCGAAAATAAATTCTGAAACATCCATATTATAACATATGGTGTTTGGATGGTTACGATGGAATGTTACAGTCGAGTCCAAATCTTTATCAACAGCCCATTTCACATTAAATCCTGCATACGCAGCTCCTAATGATAAACCACCAGCACCACAAAACAGGTCACCGACCGTTGGCTTTCTTTGACGACGAAGATTGTTCATTTGTACGTGTGAAAATTATGTGTGGCGTGAAAAATAAAAAATACTTAATATCTTGTGTCGATCGCCATAATTGCTTGAATGTAAATTTAGTTAATATTTAAGCCAATCCTTTGACTGGATTTGATACATCATATGTAATAGTTTCGTCATTCTAACAAGTACTAACGCATAACACTATTTAAATAAAAAGATCGATACGATATTATATTAAATAATTCATATATATTTCCCTATTGTTTGATGAGTATTGATATATTATTTGTATCATGATGATTTAATGTTTTAATTTATTTTCCACTCCAAAAATGTTCAATTATAGCGTCATCATCACTTAAAAGGCTGCCCACGAAAAAAAAAAAAAAATTTAGTTAATCTTTATTCATTCGAATTTGTAATCCCTTAAAAATTTTTTAAAAAATATAAATTGATCTTTTTTTTTTGTAAAAAAAAAATTCTCGCAAATAAATCAAAAAATAAAAATAAATTAAATCAATATTTTTTTAAAAAAATAACAAATATTTAAAAAAAAAAATGAATTCTTTCAACAATAAAGTCGTCTTATTTTTTGTTATTTTCGTTATTTTATCGATTTATGTCCCAATATCTCACGGACAAAAAGGAGGTATTTATTAAAAATATCGCGATATTAAAATATTCAAAGGATATTGTTAAAATATTTGGAATATTTGCATAATTAATAATAATAATTTTTTTTTTTCGACTATCAATATAGTTTCAACCACAACTGAAACTTCTACGGTTGTGCCGACACTCACAGCTACCGTGACTGCTCCAACTTCAATTGTTACAGATTCAACTACTGTCACAAGTCCATCAGTAACAATAACCACAACAACTCCTGGTGTCACTCCTACAAATGCTGCTTCTTATGTGAAATCTAATGCTGGTGTTGGTGCAATTTGTGGTGTTGCAGCATTATTTGCTGCTATTCTTTAAAAGAACGAAAGGAGTTAATGAAACAGCAGAATAATGTGAAAAAAATTGACATTGAAAATTTTATTTATACTTTATTATAATATTTGTAAGGAATTGTAATACAATTAATTAATTAATAACTAATAATATATTTTTTTATATTTATAATATCGTTATTTTACTATAAATGCTTTCAATAATTTAAATAAAATGTTATTGAAAAATATTATCATTGTTCAAGTATATAAGAATAGTAATATCACATTTATCGCATTTCTCTATAATTGCGCCGTAGTGTTTTTAAGTCTTAATAATAATAAAGGCAAAAATTTACCTTTTGGGAGACTCCATAATTGAAATCTTGATTGGTTGATGATTTTTAAAAGGCTTTAATTGATGTTATTAAAAAAAAAAATCTTGAACGTTTTGATGATGCCATCCAAAATAATCCGAGTGAAATTTAATTTGAAAGAATTATTAAATTATTATTAGGAATTGTACAAGTAAATGTAATAAATAGCTTATAAAATATTATTGTGTTGAATGTATGGCGGTGGTCCGCAATAACATTAATGGTGATATTTACTATATGCCTCTAATCAAATAATTCTTGATAGTGATTATTTAATGTATCCTGAAGAGTTCTACAAGTCCTGGAGATAATTTTCGTATACATTTTTCGGTCGAATTTTTGATCATAGCACAGCAAATAACTATAATTATTCTTTACATCCATCAATGCTAATAGTGTTGGAGAACAATGCGAGTATACTACAAATATTCCTCATCGTCAAATACGATTGGATCATCAACAAATGATTCAAGTTTGAAAATATTTCTGATCCTAATATTTTCGCTTCATCCAAGCCATATCAGAAACTTTACAAAAGTAATAATCAAAGAAGTAAATCTTTACATTATTGCTCGTATATTGCGAGTTACAATAACCAATCAAATTGACTTTTAAAAGTCTTTGATGTTTTTATATATATACAAGATTTTCCAAATTTGAAACATATAATTATCGTGCACGTGCTAAAATATCATAAATTGCCCACTTGGTTATGCAATCTATGAAAAACTAAAACATTGATTTATGTTAATATTCTGGAAACCTTGTTCTGCGCACACTCTTCAATCAGTGATAAGTAAAGATTTATTAGTAATAAACCTTTAGTGAAAAGAACAAAAGGGTTAATTGATTTTACTCTGTCTTAAGCAGTGTTAACGTATTCAAATATAAATTAATAGACATCCTGATGTAATAATTTTTTTTAATGCTTTTAAATAAATAAATGTTTTTATTATTATATAAATATTTTATTAATTTACGATTTATCAGATGTTACAACTCGTTGGAACAAGGCTTATAAAAATCAAAGGATTTATTTCAGTATGAGCAAGTCTTTTGGAAACTGATTCTTATTAAGATACCTGAAAAGATAGTAGAAGATTAAAAAAAAATTATTCCAAGTGATGGAGGGCGGAAACTTTAGATTGATGTTAAATAAATATATATATATATATATATATATATTTCTTCAAAATAATGTTCAATCGAATCTCATTTCCTCCAGATATGAACTTAATTTGGAATTAAATGATGCCTTTAGCGATGACATGATCAAAGAAACGGAAAGATGTCTAAACTGATATAACTTTAAATCGACCAATTCAAACAGGAGGTGTGCTAGTTTTAGATTTGTATGCAGCTTATCAACATGTGACTGACTGGCTTTACCTGTGGAAAAATTCTATAAATATGATGTGGCAAAAGTACGAGATTACATGCTTGTAAAAGGAGAACTTTATTAAACCAACACTTATTATTAATATTAGATCTATTCATTTTATTTTTTTGGAATGATTTTTAAAGAACTCTACAACTTGTAATTGTATAATTTGTATAGTAAAAAATGGTTATTTTCGAAATTGCTTGCTTAAATCTGCATGTTAGTACAGTCAAATCTCGTTTCAATGAATCTTGTTTTAACAGATAGATTATAATTCGCATTAGAATGAACTTTTAAATTTTTGCTTCACATATAAATTCGTTGAAACGCGCGATTAGTAATTTTGGCAATTTTCTTATGTACTCCCGTAGGTTTTTTTGACTGTATTACTATTACTTGGATAATGTAATAATAATAACATCAAATACATTGCATAATCGTCATGAATAATGTAATAACAGTGGATACGAAAGCAATCACATTCAAGGAAATAATTAAATAACGACAAAAAGATAAATTTATATATATAAATATTAAATATTAAATATTAAAAAAAGTTATAAGATAAAAAGATTGTCAGAACACTTGTATAAGATGAAAATACTTGGACTCAAAACCATTGATGAGTATTACCTATTTTCAGGGCACCCTGACAAAATCTATTCTATATCTTTACCAATTGCCAATATTATATCATTCCCATTATCTTCTCTATATTTTTTTTTCTTTATTAATCCATTCCTAGATTGCTTCTATTTATTGTCTTCTCTCTAAGGTTCATTTTTTGTTAAAAATTTTTTGCAGTGGAGGCAACAATTCCCTCCCCTTTTCCACCATACAATTTTTGGATTTCACGCCAAATGAAAATTTGCATTCAACTCGATCGATCTTTTTATCAAACAATTGTTTGAAATTCTCCTACAATTTTTCAATTTCTCTCGGGCATTTTTGATTACCAGTTGGTTTACTTGGTTTATGTTGTTTCTAGGTTCTATTGATTAATTTTTTTTGGTTGGCTGGTTTTACAAGGTTGATAATAATCCAATAATAATAAACAATCCACAAAAAATTTCTTTTGTAAAGATGATCAATTTTTTATTTCGTTAAATATCATTGCAATTTTTTATGTAAAAATGAATTGGTGATGTCTATGTTCATCAAACACAAGTGGTACTTTCTTACGTTGTTTCTAACGCAAGTAAAGTAAATCTTAAAACAAAAAATTAATATAGTAAGGAAACGAAGATTTATAATACTTGTGAAATTTTTGTTTCAAGTAGTTTATCAATGCTCTTTTTTTATGGATGATTATGATGCATTCAATAGGAATCAATTAAGCTGGAACATTTTCAGATAATCATATGGAAGATGATAGATGTTGAATGGTTAACATTATATTGGTAAATTTGTTTAATTTACTATTACTACGAAAATTGAATTCCGAGTAGCATTTTGTAATCAATATTGTGTTTCCTGAAATGTTTTTGTCTAATTTTTCATTTTGATTTTTTCCTCGTTGAATGACAATATCTCAAATATCAATTTCACACAATTCTAAGTCATCTCTTTCTAACATGTCATTAGATTTAAAAAAAAAATCTGCTGAAACAAGTTAAATGGTTGATGATGAAATTCTATGAAGATGAATTAAATTCTGTTGAACCTGTAAAATTTAATTCGTTACATGTCAAAAATTTTGTTGCCATCCAGATTATCTATATTAAAAGTTCCATTGTAGATATATCTATGGTAATAAATGTATTTTCTTTTCTGTTAATAAATTATCTATATTAAACATTGGATGTTTAATTAATAATGTAAATAAAAACAGTTCTCTAATTTCAAAAAAAAATTGTACTTTACTGTTTCTTGAAGGATCTACTAAGGATTGCCTTTTTTCTCTCGAAAATAATGTTTGCGAACCCTTTTCCCAAATTATCAATTAACCATTTACAGACCCAATGAAGTTTGCATTCAAATAAAGACAATTTGGATAGAGATAACAATAATAATACATATATCATATTTATTTGTTTTTTAGTTACATGTAATTTAATCAAATCTTGACATATTGTTTTTTTAAGCGAAAGTTATTCACTGTGGCCAACTCGTCTAAACATTTTTTACCACAATAGACATAATAATAGGAGAAATCTTTACAGCAGTCGAAAGTTTAAAAAATAGAAAAAAAAGATACACATAATAAATGTTAATAATAAATAAAATAGAAAAAAAAGATACAGACAATAAATGTTAATAATAAATATAATAAAAAATAAAATAGAAAAAAAAGATACAGATAAAAATACTAGTTATAATAGAGTAAAAAAAAAGTTTTATTTTTACTGATTTTGATTTTTCAAATAATTAATGATTTGTTCCATTTCAAAATGACATTGATTTATTTTCATTCTATAATCCTTAATAAGAGACATTCGATGAGAAATAGAAAGAATTAAAGAATTATTGTCATATTTGATGCCGCCATTGATAGAATTCGACAAAGGAATATTATTAATGTTGGCTAAATTAGCGTTAAAATTAAGAGTGGGATTCAAACTGGGGCTACCATTATTATTACTGTTGTTATTGTTATTAACGTATAAAAATTGTTGTTGTTGGGGTGGCAAGAATGATGAAGATTGTTGTGGTTGGGATGGCTGTTGTAATCGAGGTGAGTATGATAGAGGTTGCTGTAATGGTTGTTGTAGTTGTTGGGACGACGAGAATAATAAAGGCTGTTGTGATGATGTCATTATGTTATTATTACTAACATCAATATAATCGCCGTTTAAAAATGGTAAATTATTTGTTTCAAATTGATGGTGGTTGGAGCTGTAATGAATTTCGGAACTTTGTTGACAATTATTAAAATAGGTTTGCTGTTGTTGAATTTGTTGATGAATAGACATTTTAAATTTTTCTTAAAAAACTGTTTTTTATTTCTGAAAATTCTGCGTATTTTATAGAAATAAATATAATATATAGTAAAATAAATAATTAAATAAAAATTTTTCAAAAAAAAATTTTCGGCATTTTTATAAAAAAAATTCATTATCTAGAGGATTGACAGACATAATAATTTAAAATAACATTTGTATTAATATTTCTAAAAAAGTGATGATACTTTTGACAGGTGAGTGTATACACACAATTTTGATAGGCTCTTTCCACTTCATGTTTCATGTGACTTTACACAAAAAATTTTGTAACCATATCATAAAAATTAATAATCAAAGACTTCAAAAAGTAAATGAGAGCTAATTAACTGAAAAATTGCATACTTTTTATGTTGATTTGCCGGAAATTAATAGTTTTTTTTTAATATAATGATAATAATTTTATTATTAGTGACAGAATGCCAAAAGACACAAGCCAAAGATCTTCCATGTATTTTTGCTAACTTAGTTGATCTATACACAGATAAGGGCTTGAAACCATGTGCTACAAAGAACAATCAAACATGGCGTTATGCTAGTAGTAAAGCAGCAGCTAAAATACTACAAGCCTGTCATGACTATATCCCTGAGCTCCTTCATGTTTCTTTAAATTCTTATTCTGTTTGTGGGGTACATTATAACCAAATTATATCTACTAATAGATTTTATGAAGCTCTCAAATTTAAATGCAGGCAAAATTGACACTCCTGTTGTAAGAAAAAAAAGATCATGTCGGAACAATATATTAGAGACACATTCTAGTATTTCTAGCATTAATAATGACACAACTATTCAGTTTACTGAAGCAGAATTTGCCAACAATGAATCTGTTCCTATAGAAGAATTTCAAAGAATAAAAAATTTGTTGAAGTTGCATGAACTGGAATGTTGGAACAAATCACAACTTATTGTAGAACTTAATAATGAAATCACACAACTATCACATCAATTAGAAGATCAAAATCATGAAATATTTGAAGTACAGGATCAAAACAAAGTTCCTTATGAGCGGTGGAATTTACATATTGAACAACTGTCACATCAACTTGGAACTCAACCCCACGAAATAAAAGATTTAAAAAGGAAATTAGTTGATTCTTATGATCAATTAACTGAAGCAATGGAAAAAACAAAGTTCTTGTTGAGCAATGGAATTTGGATTTTAGCAATCAGCCAAAACATATAAATTCTATTATAGAAATTGCACTTGCTGAATGTGATTCTCTGTATGATGATATCAAATCATTAATTAGAAATACTAATAGGTTTTCATTAGAAAATATTATGAATTATACTCCCAAAACTTGGTTAAATGGATTGTAAAATTCATTGAAACTCTAACTCAGAATATAAATACTTACTATTCTGATAAATTAAGCCAAGAAAAATTCTTCAAGAGAGCTGTTGCAGTTGATGCAATATATGGTTCATGTCATAGTAAATATGCATCAGAAATTAATCTTGCAGCATCAGCTGTAAAATATTCCATGGTAAGTTCAAAAGAGTCATTAATATAGATAACCATATAACAATCGAAGGGAGTTATTCTATGTTTTGAACTTGGTTAGAAGGATTGGCAGAAGAAGAACCTTTGCATAATGGACTTTGTTCCTTGCATTTGATAATGAACAAAGAGGGCAAAAAAATTATCTAGATTGTGGATTTAACACAGTGATTTATCATATAGTCACAAGTTTTATAACAAAACTTTCATCATCAGCTACTTGGAATAGCTGTGCAGTGCCAACAATGAAATATAAGAATTTAAAGAGCTATGTTTTTTCATAATGAGACAATGTTGTGAGAGCTGGCGTGATTAAGTTGCAGAGCAAAGATTTATGATATATTCACAACCACTTCACATTTTACATTAATTGGATCAATATCATCAGGAATCCCTTTATAACATAGCTTCTTTTGTATTTTTATTTTTTTTATTTTTTTAATTACTTTATCTCCCGCATTTTTTATTATTTTACAATCTGCTATAACGTTACTATTAACACTTATGATATCTTCACTCCTTCCACCAATATCACCATTTTCCTCATCTTCATCATCTTCATCATTATAATTAACATCGTAATAAATGTCATTATCAGCATTGTAATTTCTATATATTATCTCCAATAGCATTGGTATCCATAATATAAGCCATATTAATGAAAGTATAATGGATATATATATGTGAGGAAGGTAATAGTATGTGGATGAAGATGAGGGACAGATTGTTGTCGTGGTGATGGTGGGTTTAGATATGAAGACGTGGATGATGTTAATGGTGATAATAGTATTGAATTATTATTATTATTAATGATGTTAATAATTATTATTAATTATGCTTATGCGAACACTTGATTTTTATTTTTATCACTTTTAATCGATTAACATCTCTTACTAATATTTATTTACAAAAGTTTTAGAATAACAAACATTATGGATTACCTTGGAGATGACTTCACTGGGACTTACAAAAATTCCGGGCTAAAAATCTTCAGATATGGAGTGGAGACTGTTATTTATCAACATCCGAAAACCCCCTGACAAAGAAAAATTCTTTAAAGAATCTGGAAAAACATAATTTTGAAACTTTTTTTTTATTATAAAGGAAGTTGTAAAACAACTTGTTGATAAATTCTTTGAGGGTAAATTTACAATAAAATACAGCACCCATTATATTTACGCTCGTTTCATTTCATACAAAGAACAATATTTCATTTTGCTGAACAACCTTCAAAAGAATACTGAAAAAAACCTGAATTCTCAAATAATTCATGAAGCAGAAAAACCTCATGGACAAAAAACTTCATTGAAATATTTCAAATTTTTAAAAGTCAAAAATATTATACTTCATATTTCTTTTTTAAAAAAAAACTTTTGCTTTGGTGTAATACAGTTTCTAGCATCAGTAAATAACCGTTCTGCAAGAACAGATGTATATGACTCCCATGTTTCGTCAAAGTTTTGTATTTTTGTTTATTTGGTGGTCTACATAATCCATCATTGGTAAAAGGGCTCTAACGAAAAATTAGAATTTGTTTCTTCTTCATTTACTGAAAACATTTTAATGAGGCAATTTTACAAGTATTACATATTAATACGGGTACTACAGATATTCGAATTTTAATTTTAATTTTAATATAAAAATTATTTGATACTAATACTACTACATGAAAATGAAATTCAAATTAGCCAATCCCACTCCATAATATTTCAATTTCACATACAACAATACCTAATTATCAACAAAATCTTTTAATATAGTGAACCTTCAGATTGAGAGTCCATTTTTTCCTTGTTTCATTTAAAATATTTGATTTTTTGAATTCAGTTAGTAAAGCTGTACCAGCCAGCTGTCACAAAAAAAACAGTATAGCATTCAAAAAATGGATAATAATAGTAATATTCAACAACAACAACAACAACAACAATTTCTTATTGAATATATTGCCAGTAGTCTAAAGCAAACAATACATGGTTCACATATATATATTATTTTCGTTTTGTCTACAAAGCAATTTTAACAATAAAAGTAAAAAACAATCAGCAGCAACAGCGAAAATCAAGAATAAAATGACAACAACTACTAACAATGACAATGACGGTGATGATAAAAGTAAGATAACAACAAGCCAATTTCATAAAAAATTATTAATGCTGGTTGCAGAAAAATTTGCAAGTACAGGAAAAAAAGTTTTTGTTAATGGTATGGAAGTGTATGAATATTATAACTTGGATAAAGATTTGATGACAATTTATATATCAAAAGTTGATACAACTGGTTCACGTCCTTACCCTTCTTCCTCTTCCTCCCACTCACATCCCACCCTTCCTCAAAATTTGATTATTGCATATTTGAAATATTGTGTAATCAATTCACAACAAAAAATCATTTAAATCAATCTATTTGCATGAACGCAACCTTGATATCTTTTTCACAATTCATTAGAAAATCCGAATAAATTTATACTGGATGATACTGATTTGTTGAGATGGTGGAAAAATACATTTAAAGTATTGAACAAAAACAGTTTAAGCCAGCAACAAATAAAAGTTGATAATGTAAATAATTGGTTTTTTATACCTGATGTTTTATCAAAAAGAGAAGCTAGACTACTTATTAAAGATGCCAATAATAATAGTAGGGATGATGATGACAGTTTTTGGAGATATGATTATCCATATTCTGATAATGAAAATGCAATTGATGTTATTCCAATATTTGAAGATGATCCAAAATCAAGATGGATAAATAAAAAGAATGACAAGAATGAAAAAAGCTCAGAGCTAAAAGTTAAAATGTTTTAGGAATTGTTGGCTATTGGGACAGAATTTGCAACAAGTAAAAATTCTGGTTTTTTTGGTTAGAAATTGGTTTAGGTGAAAGAAGTAGAAATGGCAATGATGGTGAAACGTTTATAATGTTAAAAAATGGGCTATTGTTAAAAGATTTTGGAAATGAAACACTATTGATTGAATCAAACAGCATCTTGGATTAATTATTTTGATGAACTATTATCAAATGGTATTAATAATAATAAGACATCTTTTACTGTCGAAATAAATAATCAAATTGAAGATTTACAAGAACAACAAAATAATATTGGGACATCATAAACTCCTTCATCACAATATTAAGAAAAATAAACAATTTAGTTAAAAGAAAATCAACAACAATATCATCTTTTGTTGGCAAGGGTTATGAGGAAGATAAAAGCTCAAATATAAATATTTTATCAACTTCATTAATAAAGAGAGTCAATAAGAAACTAATAAATCTTAAATTTATTGTAGAAATAAAAACATGGCGAATTAATTTTTTTAATTTTTAATGTACAAACAAAAATTTCTACTTCTATATATAGATGAGCTAAATTAATTAATGAGATTTGGGATGTGTTTGAAAGGAAGATAAGGGAGTAATAAATTGACTAATTAATTCTATTGGATAAAATTTTTATTAATGATTTGTATTATTAATTTGTAAGGTTTTTTGTTAAAAAAGATTTTTTGCTTAAAATCTAATTTCAGTATATAAAATAGGGATAATTACTATGCAAGCTGTATATATTACCATTATACTTTTAATGATATTTTGTGGAAATTGTGTTATATGACCATTAGAAATTATTCTCCAAGTTCCAAATACTGCAACAGCAAAAAAATGAAAAATCAAAACCAAAGGATTTGGTGTTAATCTGAATTTTATAAGTAGTTTTAAGATTAAAAATAAATATAAATTTTGCCATAATAATAATAATAATAATAACAATAATGATTTAAAAAAATTTAATGTTTACCCAGATAGTAAACTACAAGGTCCTTCAACACAAATACCACCCAAGTGAAAATAATTAAAACAGGCTTCACGTAATATGCGAAGATTTTCATCTAAAAAGAAATGAACCAATAACAAACAGATAAAAAAAATTAGATTCAATTGTTTGTTAATTAGGATTATTATATTATTATTATTACCTTCATTTGCAGCAAATAATGAATATAAAGCTTGTGCTAAAACATTAATCACCATACTACAATGAAATTTTCTTTCCCAATGAAATGCTTGCATTTGAGCCAAAACTAGACCAATTTCATTGAAGTCAGGAACAATAGTTGGTGATAATAGTTTTGATAATAAGACAACATCATTAAAACCCACAGTCATACCACCTTTGTTTGAATTAGAAGAAGATTAAAATGATAATTTAAAGTGAAACAATTTGTGAAAGATCAAATTTTTTTGTTGCAGAATTATTATTATTTTACTCTTGCCTCTTGACAATACTACCTCCTGTTAATGGATGTCTCATATTCATTGCATCACCTAACATTATTAAACCACTGTTGATATTGGCAGATGGTGGTAAAAAACTATTTGGCATTGAACGAAGTCGTTCTTTTTGAAGAGCTTCATAGAATGGACCCTATTATTATCATTAAGGTTATTATTATTGTTATTTGTTGTAATTATTTGTAATATTATTATTTAATACCTTAATAGATTTTGGAATTGATGGTAATATAAACGTTTCAATGTATTTCTAATTGGACAAAATTAATTAATAAAAATTATAATTATAATTATAATTATAATTATAATTAAAATTATTATTATTATTATTATTATTATTATTATTATTATTATTATTACCTTTAATTCACCTGAACCATTACTTGGTAACTTTCCAGGAATATCAATTAAAACACGTGTATCATGAGTTCCAATCTAAAATTTATATAAATAACCAGTTACTTTTAATTTTCTCCTCAAGTACAAAAAAAAACAGATATTGTTATTTACTTGGTACATTAAAATTGGTGCTATATTTCCCAATAAAACTGTTCCATGATTTGGAAATGGAAGTTCTGCATCTTTCATTATGAATCTAGAAAAAATCATTTATTAAAAAAATTTAATAATAATAAAAAAAGAATTTTTTACAAAAAAAAAAAAGGATTAGTTACCCAACAAAATTGGATTTCACTGTGGGTTCTCTTGGAACAAAATATTTACGAAATTTAGAAAAACATCCATCAGCAACAATTGTAAGTGGTGCAAAAAACTAAATGATAAATAATAATATCATCACTGGTCAATAAATTATTCTCAAATAAAGAAAAATTATAACATATATTTACTTGTTTAATAATATTATTACTATCACCATTTTGAACTTTTTGAGTGCATATAACACCTAACACACGATCAGTAATTGGACATTGAATTAATTCATTTGCTGTTCCCTCAAAAATTGTAACACTATAAAAAAATAGTTGATCAGTGGGTTAATTAATTACCTAATTAATAAAAAGAAATTATTGTTTGTATTATTCATTCATACTTTGATGTCTCAGAAGCAGCTTTTCTAAGATTCATTATGAAACGACCATGATGAAATGATTTGCCACTAGCCTGTTTTCCATTACCAAGAATTGGATATGGAACATGAACATTATCATCTTGATAAAAAATTCCATATCCATGACAAGGTATTGCATCAATATTCTCCAGGCAATCTTTAAAAAGATCAAGACCAAAAAAATCAATATAATTATTTTTCAAATAAATAAGTTATTTTGTATATCTAACCATGCAATATTTCATTCACCTCTTAACCCAAGTTTTTCTAAAGCTGCAACACCACCAGGTTGAAGTAATTCACCAACAATACGATCAGGCTCTTTCATATCTCTTTCTAACAATGTAATTTAGACATAATTGATTATAAATATGATTTATTACTTTCAACAATTATCAATTCATTGATTGTTTATTATTATTATCTATCATAATTACCTATTAGTAAAACCTTTCTCCCTTGCTTACCAAAAGCTACAGCAGCAGAACAACCAACAATACCAGCACCTATTATTATCAATTCATATTGTTGGTGGTTTTGTTTATTATTCTAATGATTAAAAAATCAGTTAGCATAGTAATTGGTACATAATCAATAGGAAAAAAAATTTATAGCAACTTTTTTTTTACATTATTTAATATTAAGCTTTTATTAATCATGATTTTTTTTTAAAATTTAAAATTTAAAATTTTTTCAGTAATACGACCGACCATCTTATATTTTGAATGGATGGACAGAAGTTCATGACTATATATGGTAAATTAGTAAATGCCAAAGAATAAGTTTTTAAAATTTATTGCAAATGTTACACCAGGTAAATTATCAATGAAAAGTCATTATCACAATCAAATTCTATATTATCAATGAAAAAATCATTATCACAATAAAATTCTATACAACGAAATTGGCATTAAAACCCAAAAATTTGATCAAAATTCAATCCCAGAAATACTCCATTATTTTGAATTTCTTCATTGTCATTTAATCTAATTCATTGATGTCTTCACCTTCAAATTTCTTCCACTTCACCTTGTGAAACTTCATTTACTGCAAAGGCTGGATTTATATTAGCATCAATTGGCATTGGGGTTCGAGTTAAATTTGTTGATGATTTTGTATTAATTAAGTGCCATTTGATTTTTGCAATCTTTGAAGCATGAATATTTTTAAGGCAATCACGTTTTGATGTATGAGTTGACGCCATAATAGACCAGAAACGTTTTGTGTCAAGCTGGAGGTACGAATTGCAAGCATTGAAAGATTTGATGTTGCTTTTTTTACTGATTTCCAAAGACGAAAGGGATTTGAATCATTATTTCTGTCCAAGGAACATCTTGATCAAAAGTTGTTCACGATTCTGATACATCAAGAAATTGATTGCTATTATTCACTGGAACTAACGCTGAAAAATTGTTGTTGTTCCTTGGATAATATTTGCTGTATAATTCCTTTGATTAAAGTAAAGGCTTAATCTTTTGCTCAAAGTTAATAACTAGATAACCTCTTTAATTTCTAAGTTATTAATAACAGCACATCATATAATTTATGTCTCGCAAACACAAAGTCAAGATAATAGACGCAAAACCCGAGGTAAATTTACTACAAATCATGTACAATATTCACAATATCAAAAATCCGGAAATAGTAACGCATAAGTGACAAAAGCTACCAAGAGGATGCGATTATCTAGAAGTAAATAATCACAATTTATTTAAATATTATTGGGTCGGGAACAAACAAACCTCACATGTATATTTGTATTGCAACACAAAAGATAAGTATAGGAGTTTTTTCATTGATGAATTAGTTTCACTCATCAGATAACCAGAAATGTTAATGTCTCATACGAATAAGTTTTGTTTCTTGGTACTCAGAAGTCACGCGGCGTGAAGATTTCCTCTTATACTACAAAAATTTAATCCCTTTAACATTATTGGTATATGTAGTGCTATTTCTTTATGACCAATTTTACCCAGTCAATTTTCACGTTCAAGAAAAATTTAACATTTTCGATAATTTTTAAATAGAGTTTATAGGAATGTTGTTATTAGGTTAAGCAATCAAATTTTTGATATTTAGTGACCCTATATGGGGATGTAAATTTTGATGATGATTGGCTTATTCGACGTTATAGCCCAAACGCTTCTTATGATGACTCAGGTAGTTTAAGTCATGGTGATATCATCAGTCTTTTTCATGCCATGAGTGATAAACATAAACTAGCACTATACAGTCATGACATCTTATTAGATGATGGAACCCAAGAAGTTGCTTGTTATGGAAATGGAAGTGATGAAAATAATAAGGTGTGTGTAATTTTTCAACTCGAATGTCATGAATTTGCTTGTGCATTAATGAGTATTTTTATTATTATAATGCTTTTTAGTGGC